GGAAGTTGAGTTCACAGTTCTTTTGAGGAGCGCAGTTGGTCGTGCTATTCTCATGTTTCGGATCATGTTCAGATGTTCACAGGCACCACCAGAGGTGGAAGTAGCGACGCACGAGTTTCCGGGGCACGGACATCGTGATGCCGAGCCGTTTTGTGTGCAGCCCGGCACTGGTGGGCAAGAACTCGCTAATGCAAGCTCTGGGGTGAAATGTGTTGCAATCTCTCTGTCTGTCTTGCTGTCTGTCTGTCTGTCTGTCTGTCTGTCGGTCTGTCTCTGTCTCTGTGTGTGTGTGTGTGTCGCTCTCTCTCTGGGTGGGTGGGAGGGTGGGTGGGTGGGTGGGTGAAATCTCGAGTTGGCATGTTGTTGCAAGTTACCAGTTTTCAGGCCGGACCAGGTACACAGTCGGGCGGGACCTTGTCCAACGAAGCTACCAACCACAGGGGAAGGGAACACAGTCCTGTGTTTCTGTACCTGCTAGAGGTGCACCTGGATCCTGCAGGGATTTAACTATTCAGCTGGTGGGCTCAAACATAATTAAGGTTCATCGGTTCATCGGGACTCCTTGACTCAGGTCGCTACATCGAGTGGTCGGTTGGAAGAGCGTAACATTGCACGACATGGCACATTTGATGAGACATTTGCCACTCTCCGTGTGTGTGTGAGTCAGTTGGTGAGCGAGGGAGGGAATGAGTGGGGCAGCGATCGAGGAGTGAGACGGAGTAAATTAGTAAGTGAGTTTGTGACTCATTGTGTGAGCGAGTGAGTGTGAGAGTTGGTGTGAGAGATTTCGTGACTCAGGACTCTGGACGAACTCTGCGACGACTGCTTTGATGCATTCCGCGACGCCATGGACACAGGCCCGGGCAGGGGTCATATGATACTGTACTGCCATGGGGAGAAACGATTGGACTCGCGAAGCGACTTAGTAGTATTTTGCATTTTGTAGGATGCAGATGTCAAATGAGGGAGGTCGGGCTGCGCCGGGTCACTGTCAGGGTTTCGGCAAGCTGGCCAGTTCGAGCCTGGAGTCTTGGAGACTCCGCGGTACCTTTTCCAGTGTGCTCGCTGGCACGAGGCGCTTTTGCCTTGCTGGGGCATTCAATAGGCCGGGCTTCGGCAGCGCTTCACTCACTGGCTTCTGAAGTGCGAGATGAGTACTTGAGGGTGCTGGAATGTCCAGGTTTTGGCTGAGTCCACAAGAAGGGTCCCTCTGTCGCTCGCAAGGTGCCTTGGTTGCCATCAAAATTGCGAAGCGAGCTCGAGCTGAGCTAGGCCCGAGAATCTCACAGCTTGCTGTAAAGTTATTTCAGAAACGAGGGCATGTCGGTCATGGCAAACTTGTAGCGAATCCCAGTGCCGCCTCGACCGGACTCGAGGTGTTGAGCCGGTTGCTGTCATCATGCTGGAGAGGCATCACGAGCCAAACCAAGTCAAGCCTTGAATCTTTGCCGATTGTAGCACATCTGGCAGCAGAGCCGAGGCAGTGCAGTGGGTTTGAATGACTAGCTCACATGCGATGGGCTTTGCCTACTGCAACGTGCCCTCCATAAAATGTTGAGCTTCTGCTCAGGGGCGCTGCGCAACATCCGCTGTTCACAGACACCCGGACGAAGAGCTGGCTTTAGGTCACACCTTTTCTTGCTTCGGCTAGCTCTTGCAACTGCGCGGCCACAGTTCCAGCGTGCTGGTGCCAAGGAAGTTGGGGCCGAGAGACTTCGAAGCGATCCGGCGTCCTTCTTTGAGTACTGGAAACTTGACACCTTTCCACGTTTTATGTGCGGTTGGGGTGTCGGTCTTAGTTGGACAGTTTGATGAGCAGATCTCCGCAGACGGGCCTGCAAGCCAAACTCGCCATGAGCTCACTCAACTTCAGTTGAAGGCCTGTCTTTCGGACTGATTGATGGTGGAGAGAAAGCGCATCAAAGTGTCCCCGAATGAAGCAATGATCAGAATGACTTCAAGAAGTAGTGTAAGAATCTCCAGTACTTCACCCTTTCACGTTACGTAAAACTGCCAGATGTAACAATTACTAGCCGGCAATGGGTAACCGCTGTGCGCCAGAATGCGCGGAAACTGACGCATGCCCTCTCTGCAAGCAAGACAAGGAGGACTCGATTTCTGTACTGCACACGCACGACAAGGCAGATGTGGTCAGGCTGGAACTGAAACGCTCACCGCTTGTGCAGCAGATGACTGGCATTTGGTACGACAAGCAAACTGGCCAGCACATGGGCGAGATTTTCGATGACCACCTGTATTGGAACTTCTCTTTCGGTCTTCCTCCTGCATTGATTGAGACCCAGCTGGTCAACACCGTCCAACTTGACGTGCAGGGCAAAACTCTTCATGCCCAAGTTTCTCTCGAGGCACAAGCAACCATGACATGGAGGGACGGCAGCGTTTGGCTGCGGAAGTGAGATGTGGCTGAACCCTGAGAGCGAAGACCGGAAAGATGTCACATGGCACAACACGACTGTTGGGTGATTGGGTGGTATGCAGTGAAAAATCAGATTTCACTCAATACACGGTATATCTATCTATCTATCTATGTATCTATCTATCTATCTATCTATCTACAGATATATATATATAGAGAGTTATATATATATATATGACAGACTGCAGAGCGCAGATTTCCCGCTCGCGGCAGATCGTTGGATCGTTTGTCCCGATAGCGAGTCTCTCCCGAAAATCCCAGAACTGAGGCGACTCAGCACAAAGCTGAGCTAAGCTCAAGCTTGCAGATGCTGTGGGGTGCCGCTAAAGCATAGCGATGGGTTCCACGTTCCAGATTTTCGGGTGTAGGTCGAGGCTTTGTTGGCTTTTGCGGGCCAGGTTCTGGGCTTAAGGTTTCGGATCTTGGGGGAACAACATATGCTTTGATAGTGCAGGGCCTTGTAGATCTTGAAGCTGGACAGCCTCACAAGCAGGCGCCGAGCCGCAGAAAAGATGCCCGATGCTTTTCCGATCCTTTACCGGGATGGTGCAAGAAGGAAAGACTTCAAGATCTGCCGTGCATCCAGGAACCCGATGGTGTTCAAGCTTTACAAAAGTGCCGGAGACATTGGAAAACGCACCCTGGACATGTGGCAAAAGGAGCCCCCGTTGAAGTTTTCCTAGGAAACGATCCTGTTTCTACGAGACTTTGCACACCAGAGGACCAGCTCATGGACCAGGATGCGATCGAGGCAGGGAGTGGGCCCAGTCAAAGCTCAAAGCAGACCGCAGGGTGCAAAGTCGTGCTTGTCTTGACACCGATGGTGCGCACACATCATGAGAAGGTGGGGCATCACACCTTCAAGTGTCCGTTGACAGCTGCTTGGATGCAATCGCTGCCCCTACTAGTACCCACCCGAAAGCTGGATTGACGGAGGTAGGGTTTCTTGGATGATGCTGCGGCTTCCATGCCTTCGCAACAGGGCTTGTCGACGCCTCGCATGTTGACTAGCTAAATGTATGTGTCTTTGGGTGAGACTCGAAAAACTGGAGTCTGATCTCAAAGGCCTTTGCAGCAGATGGATCCTGGGATTCATGGGTCACTCTGAAAGACCTCGACGAGAAGAGACTTGTTGTCAAGTGATTTTGTGAGTTGATTTTTGAGCTGGGAAGATGCCCCTGGTTGCCTCAGCTAGCCGAGGGAGGCGGCGCTCACGCAGCAAAATATTGAAGCAGGCACCCTGAGCCCTGAGTGTTGCTCAGGTGGCTCCCCAAGTGCAGGTCAGTTCAGTTGTACAGCTTGCCTTGTGGTTGTAATTCCTCTGTGGTAAGTGATGGTATGTGGCTGCGGTCCCAAATCTGTGAAATCCGCAGAATCTGAGAGGCTGCTTCGAATTTCCGCAGCAGATACTGTAGTTGGCAGGTGCTTACCGGATCGAAAAAGACGGCAAGGCTTTTGCTGGGCACTTCCCGGCCTGGACATACGATGGATGGAAGGCTGTGGCAAAGACACACTGCGAAGCTGTTTTGAACAGGTGCCATGTTTTTGTTTTGTCCGTGTCGTTTCAGTCCACAGCCGTGACAGGACTGGACCGAGCACCCGAAGGGGTGCAACATCGTAAAGTGCAAAGACTGCGCAGCTCAGTTTTGCAGATAGAATCCGGACCTTCGATGTGGGTGTTTGTCCGGCCCTTGTGTAGCATTGCCACCGCCACCCACTCATGCAGAAGTTTTAGTTCCAGGTGCTTATGAGGCATGCATGCCGTGGCTGTCTCATCATGCTGTCCATGCCTGCGGACCGCGCAAAGGATCACATGACTGTCAAGCGCAATTCCATGTTCAAAGACGAGCATCTGAGCAGAATTAGTGACTAATTAGTGTTCAGGCTACTTCCACGTCGAGCCGGCAGGACCAGAAGGAATCTCCTGTCACTTGTTCATGCAGCCTCACGGCCGAGGTTATGGAAAATCTTGAGAGATGTAGCGGCATCTTTCTGACTGCGCAGATGAGTTGGATCAACATGCAGCGAAAGGGCATGAGAGGTCTTGAGCGCCAGCAACGCTTGAGCGGGAAACCGCTCGAGCTGTTGAGCAGAAACACGAACGGAGCACAGCGAAGGCTCCATTTTCCAGTTCAGCACGTTTCACTCCCATAGACTAAGACTATAGATTCTGGACTAGGCTCCTCCCAGCGGCAAAAATGCACAGTACAAGTCAATTACCAAAGAAGCTGGGGCATGCTGACCGATGCAGACGGCATTAAAAGCAAACAGTTGCATGTGGGTATCCCTGTGTGGTTTGCCGGCCGGCTTAGCTGAACAAGGACACGTGCTGCAGCATGGTCACGTGAAACAGAGTCACATGGTTCTCCTCACTGGCTACCGCTAGCGGAACTTGCCCGGCCAAGAACGCTTCAAGAAGCAGTCTCGAGTTGCAATGCCGGCTGCCGTTTGAAAGAAGCTGCCGGCCGGCAGCTCGGGGGAGAAAGGAACCAAGAGCCTTGCTGATCAGGAATCTACCCGCTGCAGCCGGCTCAAGCGAGTAGGTTGAAGCACCGATGCAGGGATGGCACCCAAAGCTGCAAAAGCGAAAGCTGTTGGAAAGGCGGTGACCAAAGCCTCGGGCAAGGCCTCTGCCCCGGAGCCCGAGCCGCCCCTAAAGCCTTCAGTCCCCGCCGTCCCGCAGCCCAGCGAGGCCGTGACTCTCACTGCCAAGCAGGCCGAAGGGCTCTTAGCCAGCCTGTGCGCAGAGGAACTCCGCATCCTGGCTGAGACCACGGACGAGGAAGAGCAGCTTGCAGCTCGCCAGGTGCTCGAGTATGTTGGCGACAAAGATGTGAGCTGGGAAAATGCGCAACGGTCACTTTCCACCGGCAACCAGCTTGTCAATGAGATCCTGGAGATGCAGACAGGCGAATTCATCACGAAGCAAAGCTTGCAGAGGTTTGAAGAGCTTGGCCACCCGGACGTTTCCGCACTGTGGGGCAAAAGCCGAAGTGCTTACGTCCTGGCTGTTTTCGTGCAGGCGTGTCTTCAGGATGCCCGTGATCGTCTGGGACTGACGGCCGCGGCACCCCCTCCACCCCCAATGCCGCAAGAGCCTCCAGCATGGCCCCTGGTCATCGGCTTCAAGGTGCGGGCCATAGCATTTGTGTTTGCACTCACGGCCCATGGCACTTTCAGCCTGGCTACTCTCCACGACGTGGGTTTCATCAGTTCTCTTGCAGACTGACCGTGTGTTTCTTTCCAAAGGGTCAGTCAGTCTGGTCCTTCGCCTGCCCTCCTATAGTCGGGGCAGAAGTGGACGCCTCCTCTTCCACACAAAACGGCTTCAGGGCAAAGCGACGAGTCTTAGCAGGGAAGTGGCAGCGAGGGCAGGTGCGAGTTGCAGCTTCGGCCTTGGGTCGTTGAGGGGACCTGGTTTTGGCTCGGCACGGCACTGGTTACTGAGAAGCCGAGTAGCCATGACAACAATCAATCGAGATGTTCAACACAGTCCACCAATTTTTGGAGAGCACGAACACCTAATCGTAGTCAACAATCAAAAACCTGGCGCTGCTAGACCCTCTGGAGAGAGTCAAGAAGCCCCAAGTTTGGAGCAAAGGCCTTTGGGTAGACGACACTAGCGCCAGTGCCTGCGAAGTCCAGTGCTTAGAACCGAGGAGTTGCCTGCGCGTATTGCAGAAGTTGTCCGGTGGAGCAGAACGGTGCTGGTGGTGTGCAACGGCCATGCCAAGGAAGCTGACACGTTCCTGACTTACTCTGCGTACGTGCAAATTGATGCCAAATGGGTCATGGGAGAAACTATGATCAGAAAGACCATGGGCATCGAGGAAATGCAGGAAAGCCTGCGAAAACGAGTTGTGAGCGCTATGAAGTCTGGACTGCCACTGCATATCGCCATGGCAAACACGGCCGTGGCTTTCAAAGATAAGTTTTGTGCAGAGCACACATTTCCTCATTCCGTCTTCAATTTTTCAATGTTCAGAGGTGAGACGGGAACGGAGGCAGGCGAGTATAGGAAGATCATTCGAGATGTGGACTTGGAGGATTGGCCTGGGAGCTTTCCCGGCCGAATGAAGGAGGGTTTCTTTGTGGTGGTCACAACTGACTTTGACCTCGAGTCTGCTCGAGAATTCCTCCCCTCATCTCTGCCGTACTTCAACGACATGGCCATCCTGGAAGTAGACTCCGCGTCGTTCACGTGATTGTGGAATACAGCTCACGACTGACCCTACCAGGTGTGTTGGTGGCTTGGGATCTCGCGGCTGAAGGAGGTCATGTAGCTCAGGGCAGCCTTAAGGATGCAGCACGGGGCTAAGCAGCCGTGGCGTGCCGACCTGGCTTCTCGTCCTGGCATGCAGATGAGCGACGAGGATCAAAGAGCAAAAAGGCGCGGACAGCATCGGCATAGAAGACAATTTTAAGATATTGACTTGTTCAGGCCCTCTGGTTCAGTCTGCTGCCTTTCTCACGTCGCTCAGGTTATGTGCTTGCCGGACAACTATGGAGACGTCATCTCAGAGCATGGTAGTCATTGCTTCGATGGCTTGCTGATTCTTGTTTTGATTCTTCGGCTTGAGTGGTACGATCCCATAGATGGTAAAAAAACTTGAAGAGGGGCATCCTTGAGAATGAGAAGGGGGCTTGCCAGCGCAGGGCCGTTCCACACACATGCCTTGTTCGACATGTTCAACACCTGTACCTGCACTTACATGTCGTGCATTTTCCGGCACGGCCTCCCATCTAGCGACTCCTCAGGAGCATTCCAACTGAGACTGTGGTTTAACTTGTTGGTGCATTGTAAATTTGGCTCCCTCGGGGCTGACGGCCTCGAGGCTTGTGAGGGCAGTCTTGGAAGCCAGAGACCCAGACTCAGGCATGGCCAGCTCCCTTTTGCTCCTGCGAGCGATGCCCCGGTGATGTGTTCAGGGCTCGGCGCAGAACACCCTTGCGTAGGGGGCAGGGGCAGCAAAAAACATCAAAAAACATGCACTTGATGCAGCATGGCAGTTAGGGCCTAGGGCTTTCACTCTTCGTGTGCAAATCCATGATGTGCATGACGGCAAAACTGGGCGCATGTAAAATGTGAATCTCCGGTCTGTTAAAATGGAGTAATGAAAGGGAAGCATCGACACTCAGACCGGCGCCTTGCCGTCTTGATGCAGGCCTCATTGTGCGCGCTTCGAGCGCTGGGCACCTGCCTTACCCCCTGGCCTCGAGGGCTTTGCTCGGGAGTCCCAGCACGAACTAAGAGCAGACCCAGGCCAAAGCTGCCAATGTCGATTCTGTGAAGCAGAGCAGGAATCTCAGACGTCACACGTGTAGGGACTCTCCAATTGCCTTGCTGCACAGCTTGCGTGGACGGGTGACATGTCTTGCTCGTTTTTGCACTGCTCAGGCAAGGTCCCGACAGCGTAGGCTTGTTTTATCTCGTATGGGTCGAGAGACGGTACGCCCTGCAACTTTCGGGAAAATGCCCAACGCCGCTGGCACGTGAGCCTTCTTCCATTCTCAAGCTAGCAGCTTCAAGCATACATGTGTGTTGTGCGCGAGCTGTGCAGCACATTCTAGAGGAAGGCATGAGGGCTCGAACTAACAGAGACATCCGGCGAGGTGGGCGGTACCAGGAGTTGCTGGAGGCTGGAATCTGCAGCAGACCAGACTAACTGTGACAGGTCAGAGAAGAGCTAGCTTTAAACGAGGTCACGCAAATTTGTGACCTGATGTAGATGTATATGAACTTGAAGGAGATGGAGGTTTTCTGGCAGTACCAAACCTGAGGGGACCTGAGCGAACATGACAGGGGCAGCGCCAAGAAGCAAAGAATGCTTTGAGCAATGATCACTGCAGTTAAGCGATCTATCCAAATTTATCAATTTATCAATCTCTCCATTTTCGATTCCTTCTTTGTAAGCCTAGTATATCAATCTGTGTCTTCGCTCATATGCATGCAAGGGTGAAACTTTTGTAATGTAATTCATTGCAGAGCGTTACATACAAAAAAGTAAATACATACAGTCTGCACAGCATGCACATACGAGTGTATGTACATGAAGCAAAGAGTACATACACCGCGAACACAAACTCTCGCTCTCCGCCATCATGCTGGGGGTTTACCTTTCGCACGGCACACGAACTGCAGACTGCACGTGCTTCAGCATGCCCATTTGCGTGCAGACACGTGGATGCAGGCGAAGGGTTGCGACGAAGTTTTCAACTGCTGAGCTGCTGATTGCGCAGCACAGTGAAAGTTTTCCTTGCACGAAGATGCAGGCATGCCTGCGCCACAACTGTAGTATACATACACGTACACATGCGCGGGTATGTCGCTCGTTAGTCTTGATTCATGTCTGTACGGCACCCGGATCCTGGGAAGGAAGCTGCCAGGGGCTCGCCACATCTTTCGCCTGACAAGGACCGACTGAGCTATCTGTCGTACCGGCATCGGATCTCGGGATCGGTCCAGTGGCAGTTCGAGATTCCCTCTTGTTGCCTGGGAGTGGCATTTCCTGCCGGGCTGCAGGAACGACAACTTCAGCTCGACTTGGATCGGACTTGGCCATCTTTGCGTGCCCCGTTGTTACTGGAGTGCTACCACAAATCACCAGGACCAGCATGTGCGCTGGACAGGTATGTTTTCAGAGCACAGCGGTGGTCGACAGTCGCTGGCCAACCTGCTGAAGGCGAGACGCGGCTGCTCGCCACCAGCAGACCCATTCAAGGATGTTAGGCTGTTCTGGGTCTTCTGAACACCATGATGTCATGAACCTGCTGTGATTGTAAAGCACTTGGAGACTCAAGTTGCAAATAGGCTTGGATCATCTTCGATGGGAACGAAGCCCAGCAGGAGAGGGCCCAAGTTTTTCGCTGGATGCATTCCAACTTGCGCTTACCGTAGTAGGCGAGACTTGGGGTGGAAGTTGAGGTTGTAAATCTACATTCAGGCAATGATTTTGGGGCTTAGACTTGTTTCAACGGAACATTCTGCAGCACGACCGGCATAGGAATGCGACATCGCACACGTGGGGCAGTCGAAAGTGCCAGTCTTTTGGCTGAGAGGCGAGCGCAGTGGACAGATGTCAAGAAGCCAGTGCTCAGGCCACTGGAACTTGTGTGTGTGTGGGTGTGTGTGTGTGTGAGTGTGTGTGTTGTTGTGCCGAAGAGATGGCTGCAGATGGCTGCCGCTCTTGAATGCAAGAAGGACTAACAGTGTGCCACAGTGTAGCCACTGCAGCTCGTTTCGCGGACTGCTTGCTTGAGATCCGCTCCGTAGTCGTTTGCCGCTAATATGTAATGCTGTGCAGGCGGCAGGTGCTGTTGGGCGTGCTGGACTTGGACGACTTGATGATGAGATGTCTTGACGACCACTGACCTGCTTTTGGGCAAAAGTGGGCGTGACTAACCTTCTGCATCAAGCGAACGGCGATCACCGCACCGCGCAAGCGCATTTTGTCGTTGAGGCCGAAAAACTTCGCGCCGGAGCGAGGCAGTGGGTTATGTCCAGGGCTCGCATCTCAGAAGCTCGGCAAAGCAGCGGCACGATGCCCTGCATCTCCACAAGGAAACATCCGACAATGCCATCTGCATACGGAGGCATGAATTTCATCGTCACTGCACTTCTTTGGCACTGCATGGCCGAAGAGGCAGCCGCAAGACAAGCTTTTGCAATGTGCAAGCTGCACATACTGAATGCATGCTGGAGAGTCTGCTTTGCGTCAGGCGGTGTTCTGGCTCTTCGTGGCCACGGCTTCCGGCTTGCAACATGAGTGTTGTCGGGGAGAATTGTTTTGTGAGCGCATTCGTGGTTTGCTGGAATGGACGACTTCTTCAAGAGTACGATCGCTTTTGCCTAATGTTGCATGGCCCGCCTGGGGTCAGATACCAAGGGTCGTCACCAGCAATAGAACCTCCAAGTCTGCTGTCTCGGCGACCGCAAGCCTGACATGTCTCGTAAAAGACCTGCAGCTCAGAGACCCATGACCATGTGCCGTACTGAATTTGAATAGCCCCTCGGCATGGTTCAAAGAGTCGCAATACCGTTTCGCTCGGTATTTACTGTTTCGTTTGGGTCACAGTCACATGCCGAATACACCGGTGGGTACACTGTTTTCGGCACTTGCACATGCCGCAAGAGAGCATCCATGCCGGAACCGTAGTGACGTCCACCCCAACCCCATCCGTTCACGCAAAGCATCCATGCCGGAACCGAAACGACGTCCACCCCGACCCCATCCGTTCACGCAGAGCATCCATGCCGAAACCGTAATACCGATATACCGTAACATCCACCCCGACCCCATCCGTTTACGCAAAGCATCCATGCCGGAACCGTAATGACTTGTGGGATGCGATCCGTCGCACTACTAAGATGTGAAGCATGATGCAAAATGGTTGTTTTGACAGAGAGACGCGTGGACTCCTCTGTCCATATCCTTTCCGAAAAAAGGCGCAGCGAATGAAAAAAAATGCAACTTTTGCACGCCGTCGGGGTGTGGTGCAAACCACGAATCACTCGGCAGGGACGACGTTTTCAGCATTCCTTCTTGAGCGACTTGGGACTCGGCAGATAGATAGATAGATATATGTATATATATATATATACCTAATTTTCGGCTAGGTAGGTCTGGAATTGGGGGATCAGTTTTGCGATCGTAAGAACGGCCCTGATGTTATCCAGCCGTAGCCATTTTGGCTCAAGCCGATCGGCCGTGCCCAAAAGAAGATCAGACGGCGTGGGAAATCTTTTCAGGGTAGGATAGATCCCTCCTGCCATGTCGTTCCCGCCTGTTCAGGGCTCATCGGCTGCGGCATCCCGCAGGGAGATCCCGACTTTCGGGCTCCCGAGGCGAAATCCGCCCCCAGAGAATCCGGGGCACTGGGGTCACTATGTTCCGGGGCAAGAAGAGGCTCCTGCGAATCCGGCGGCTGGAACTCCCGCTGCCGCCTCCGGAGACTGGGGATCCACCTGGGGCGGAGAC